GTGACGCTGCACTCAAGTTAACAACTTATATTAACAGCGCCACACACAAAAAGGTACAATTAACATTTAAATATACAAAGTTGACATGTGCGCCGTAGTCCCACCACCCCAAGACATTAAAATATTAAATTAAATGCTAACAGAGCTATTTGAAAGATAAGATAACATGGTAACCTCCTATATCTCATTGGCGGAAAAACATCCGCCAATCAGAGCTAGGAGGAGAATTTAGGCCCATTAACACTTACGTAGTATTTGGACTTCTATATCTAATTGACTGTTAGAAACAGTCAAGCACAGCTAGAAGCGCTTGGTATCTCCAATGTAAACCTGAGTGAGTTGCATCGTTTTAAAGTTGTACATAGAGGGTAACATTGAGGAGCCTCTAAGAATGAAGTGCAGTTTAGCATTATCTGACATATTATTAAGGTTGACAAGATGACCAAGTAAATCTGCAAGATTACCAAAAAGTTCCGATCTCTCATTATTGTATAATGGACAATGTAGCATGAAGTGCATGACAGATTCGCAACGACACCCGCATCTACAAGAGGCACTGGTAGAGAGTCCTCGGGTAAACAAACTGTGATTGAGAGCACAGGTGCCGATGCGGAGCCGAACTAGAAGGGCGCAGGTGTAACGGGGGCCACAATTGTGATGTGGGGGACAAAGGGGGCGTACTAATCTAATAAGGTGTTTTCGGAACAAGGAGTATCGTAAAGAACGAACTTCCAGGTCCAGTTCATTCCAATGACTTAAACAATAGGGTATAAAAGATCTACTAAACCTATTAGTAAATTGTAACGAAAGTCGAAAGTCGTTACTATTTCTTAAATTGTACAGAGTGGTTTGAGAAATTTCAGGGGGATTAAGTCAAAAAGATATCTCCGTGTTAGGCCATTAACTATTTTATGAAATAAAAATAAGCGATGAAAATGCCGTCTGCTAGAAAGAGACTCCCAACCCAGTTCTTGACAAACAGATAAGTAAGAAGAGCCTTTAACTGCTCCTGAGACGATAAGAGAACATTCATATTGGATTCTTTCAACAAGAGCGGAGTCTTCAGCAGTACAGCCATGCCAGATCACATCTGCATATTCCAAACAGGGACGGACAAATGATTTATAAATGGTTTCTAAAACATTGCGAGGTAATTTAAACTTTAAACCACGAAGTACAGTGACCTGTTTGGATATTTTGGCTAACATCTGAATAATATGGTTGTGCCAAGACATATTGGTGGTCAATATAACTCCAATATGTTTATGGTGTGGGACACAATTAATTGTAGACGACCCAAGATAAAGAGGAGGGTGGGTGATAGGGGATCTTTTAGTAGAAAATGACATCTCTTCAGTTTTAGATGGATTTAGTTCCATTAGCCATTTTTTGGACCAAGACAGAATTTTACTCAAATCAGAGTTAAGCCTATATGCAGATGCGGTCGGGTTATCAACTACGTCAAGTAGGGAGCTATCATCCGCAAATAAAAAGGGTAAAGAATTTAAGTTATCTACAATGTCATTTATATATATGATAAACATTAATGGTCCTAACACAGAGCCTTGGGGAACACCTGCGCCGATCTTGGACCAGGTAGAAGTCTGTCCATCTATGACAACTCTCTGGGACCGGTCACTTAGATAACTGTGAATCCAGTTTAGTAAGGGACCGTCAACTCCATTTTGCTGCAGTTTGAAAATTAAACCGGAATGCCATACCTTGTCAAAGGCCCGCGAAAAATCAAGGAACACAGAACGAACTTCTTTCCCTTCCTCGAAAGCCTTAAGGATAGTGTGACAAATGTAAACTAACTGACACACAGTTGAATCCCCATGTATAAAACCAGACTGGAGATGATAAATAAGATTATTTGAAAAGAGATGGTTATAAAGATGTTTGTATACAATTTTTTCGAGGACCTTTGACAAGGTAGGGAGGAGTGATACAGGACGGTAATTACATTTAGAGTGTTGTTAACTCAAGTGGTAGTCTTTGGAATTTTTTGTGACCTACTGTACATGTAAAATGGACATGGTCTGAAACAATTCGCTTCACTTAAAATTCTGTGAACAATTTCACTTAAAATTGTTCTGTATAAATGATAGGTACCTTTTTTAAGCCGACTGAATTGACGTTCCGTGCTTTATCCCTTTTTAATTGACGCATCTTCTGGTTGCCTCTTACATTTCCTCAGACGTCAGGAGACGACAAATTCATCTTCTCAAACGATGTCATTGCCAAACGAGTGACACAGGCCAACGGCGCTGTGCGTAACCAGCCGGTAAACCTGCCCTTCCAGTGCGAGTTCCTCCGTCAGCACGTAGTTTCCCAGGGCAACGACATCATGTATAACATCCCCTCTCCTCGGTAAGACATTACCTGCGGCATAAACATGCATAAGACCAACTAAAATAAGTTCCTCAGGTTTGTAGGACACAGGATATGGGTATCTATACGGCTAAAAGCGGAGAGAAGAAGAACTCCAGTCAGAAGCTCCGAGGAAGGTTCAGGTTAACTGCTTCTTTAACCAGTTTTTGCAATCTTCTTGCAGCCTTCAAATCATTGACGCCAACAACAGCTTCACCATGGAGATGCATATGTTCACGTCGGGAGACTTCAGTTCAACCTACAAGAGTTCTGACTTCCCTCTTCAGGTTAGCGAGTTTTTATCTTAGCTTTACCAGTCTCTTTATAATCTTATTGTGTTCTGACACCAAAGAAAGACATCTTCGAAATGAAAAAATAATTGATCAATTTGATTCAACTTAACGGCTTTAATCCTGATGATATGGTATACAGTTATATTTTAAAATTTTTACCGATTTTAGTAAAACCAAGTATTATGCCTTCACTTAATTGATGATTAGTTGATTTGACCATTTTAGTCATTATTAGTTCTCTGATCTGACCTCTGATTCTTAGTTCTCGATTCTTAATTCTTAAAGTCTGTGTGCGTAAATCTGTACTTATGTGTATATTTGTTTCATGTATTTGTATTGTTTGACGGTCCCTCGAAGATTATTCCCAAAAAGAAATTAAACGGCATGTCAATAAGCTCAATGAAAAGAAAGAAACTGCTTTTGTACACCGCACAGGTCTCACCATCTGACCGTCTTCACTTCGGCCTGAGCGTGACGTCATCGCTGGACAACCTGGAGCTGTTCGCCCGTGACTGTGTCTCCACCCCCACCACCAGCCCTGACGACTCTCCTAGGGTCAGAATCATCGCCGATGGGTACGTGTTTGACTACATTTGCTTAAATATTTGATTACTTAGAACTTTAGTTGTTTGGTTGCGACAGGTGGATAATTTTGGCTGCCTAGTTAGTTAGTTTGTTGCTTGGTTTGATGTCTGGCTACTAAGTAACGAGCTGGCTGGCTAGCTGACCGGTTTCTCGGCTAGCTGGTCATTTGGTTGTGGTAGGTGGGTGAATTTGGCTGCATAGTTGGTAAGTTTGTTGCTTGGTTTGTTGGATGGCTAGCTGACAGTCATGGTTTATTGGCTAGTTGGGTGGAAGCTTTGTTGAGTACCTTGGATTTTTTTCTCATTTGTTTCATTGTTAGTGATATACGTTGGTTGGTGGGTTGGTTGGTTGTTTAGTTGTTTAGTGGTTTGGTTGGTTGTTTAGTTGTTTAGTGGTTTGGTTGGTTGTTTAGTGGTTTGGTTGGTTGGTTGCTTGGTTGGTTGCTTGGTTCTTCATGCAATATTGTGGCAATCACGAGTTACCTTACAGTATGAAAGAGTTTGGCTATAAATGACTTGTTCCATCTGAATTTGCAGCTGTCAGGTTGATGAAACTCTACAAAAGGACAATGACCTTTCTAACGACAAGGCCCTGTGCTACGGCGTGGACGCCTTCGCGTTTCCCAACGCTCTCGACCCCAGCCTGGTAGAATACAATCAGTGTTTCAAAGCTGCCACTTTTGTGGTTACTGGTGGATGGGGAAGATATGGATGGTTAAATGCTTGGTGATAATTTCAGTGGCTTATGTCATATATCTGAATGACAAGCTCTTCTAAAGCAAATTTTCGGTATCATGAGTTTGAGGACATGCATGCACCAACACAAATGATGGGTCAGCTGAAACGATAGAACAGCAACAACAGGAAACATATGTTTCAAAAAGCTTGGCGAAGGTTTGGGTCTGCTCGAGCTCAATGCTGTTCCTGACTGTCATATTCCATTATTTTGCAGGTGTACTTCCACTGCACCATGATCATCTGCTTCAAGGACGACCCTGACTCTCGGTGCAAACAGGGCTGCATCCCACCAGCAGCACGGCGCAGGCGAGCCGTCTCGGACGGGACGGATGGGAGGGTTCGCCGGGAGAGCAGCAGGGACAAGCGGGCGGACATCACCCAAGGACCCTTCCAGGTGCAGTCCGGAGAAGCAGGAACAGGTACATTATAAGCGAACGTTTCCACCGGCATTAACGAAGACGAAAAATTCACCCATTTGTTAAATGATTGCTCATGAAGCTAGCCATACGTAACCGGCTCCTGAACATTGGGTTTCTAAACATACAGTTGAATGTGTGAAAGCACGGAGGTAGAATGGTGCAAGCCATATTTGCATCACTCTGCAAGATCGGTATCGGTATCGGTATAGCCGGTATAAGCGTCCTCCGGCGTAACACACCAGCAAGAGGGACGACTTTAAAGTCTGGTCCTTATTAACTTTGCTTTGAGCTTCATCTTGCCATTTTTTTCACCATCAAGCATCAATAGACAAAGGTCACACACAAGCACACCTTTACCTCTAGTTTCTTAATGGTGAGAAAAATGGCAAACTGAACCTCAAAGCAAACTTTAAAACATGAATAAGACATAAGAATGGTGTCCCTCGTTCCACAGGACCAGCTGGAGTGCCGCTGGGTACCGCGGTGGGAGCGGCTGTTGGAGTTGCCGGGATCATGGTGCTTCTGATCGTGGCCGGTGTTCTGGTGAAGAAACGGGGCGGTCTGGCCTTAGGGAGGAAGAAGCGTGATGACGACACTGTCGGTAAGTCCTGTAGTTTTGTTCTATCACTTTGTGACACGATAATAATTGATACCAACTTGTAATCAGTATAGTAGAAATTGAATCAGTTACTCTGCATCTATATGTTTCATCCAAGAAAGAAAAGTACACTAAATTAGCATCTTTCTTGCAAACCATTTCTGCTTTAGACGGTATATGTAAAATCGCAAGTCTTGACAAGTCGTTGTATAAAGCAATGTCACATATACTACCCACTAGTCAAACTAGGAAAAATGATTTCTAGTTTAGCACTAGACCTTGCGCTCCGTGGATGCTATCTAACTGTTACAGTAAGTCTACGTGGCCTTATTATGGGTCTGTAGATTGTGGCACCGTTTTGATTAGTGGATTCTGTTTTCTCTCTTAGGACTGGACAACTACGCGTTCCAGAGTTGGGGAAAGATGAACAAGACTGGCATTGCTGACACCAAAGCCTAGAGCGTTCTCCTTCCACCAGGACCACAGCTAAACATACAGAAACAGTGTGATGAACTTTATTACCGTTCAACAATAGTATTGTATCTCCATCTAAACATCGACAAAGTGTAGTGAACTGTATCACCATTCAGCAATAGTATAGTCTCTCCATCTAAACTAAGACACAGTGTAGTGAACTTTAGTACCATCCACCAATAGTATAGTCTCTCCATCTAAACTAAGACACAGTGTAGTAAACTTGATTACTATTCACCAATAGTATAGTCTCTCCATCTAAACTAAGACACAGTGTAGTGAACTTTAGTACCATCCACCAATAGTATAGTCTCTCCATCTAAACTAAGACACAGTGTAGTGAACTTTATTACTATTCACCAATAGTATAGTCTCTCCATCTAAACTAAGACACAGTGTAGTGAACGCTATTACCATTCACCAATAGTGTAGTCTCTCCATCTAAACTTAGACACCGTACACGGACGAGCCCATCGACGATGATTAGAGCGTCTGCCAAGATGTAAAGAAGAAGAATAAAAATAGTTTAGTCTCTCTATCTCAACTTAGACAAAGTGTTGTTAACTTTACCATTAACCATTCACCAATAGTATAGTCTCTCCATCTAAACTAAGACACAGTGTAGTAAACTTTATTACCATTCACCAATAGTATAGTCTCTCCATCTAAACTAAGACACAGTGTAGTAAACTTTATTACCATTCACCAATAGTATAGTCTCTCCATCTAAACTTAGACACAGTGTAGTAAACTTTATTACCATTCACCAATAGTATAGTCTCTCCATCTAAACTTAGACACAGTGTAGTGAACTTTAGTATCATTTACAATAGTATAGTCTCTCCATCTTAACTTAGACACAGTGTAGTGAGCTTTATTACCATTCACCAATAATATAGTCTCTCCATCTAAATTTAGACACAGTGTAGTGAACTTTATCACCATTCACCAATAGTATAGTCTCTCCATCTAAACGTAGACAACGTATCGAACTTTATTACCATTCACCAATAGTATAGTCTCTCCATCTAAACTTAGACACAGTTTTGTGAACTTTATTACCATTTACAATAGTATAGTATCTCCATCTAAACTTAGATACAGTGTAGTGAACTTAATTACCATCCACCAATAGTATAGTCTCTCCCTATATACTTTGACATCGTAGTGAACTTTATTCCATTCACCAATAGTGTAGTCACTTCATATTAACTTAGACACAGTGTAGTGAACTTTATTACCATTCACCAATAGTATAGTTTCTCCATCTAAACTTAGAACAACAGCAGTATAGGGTCTTTATATTAACTTAGAGACACTTAAGTGAATTTTAATATCATACCAATACTAATTTTGGCTATTTGTTGATGCTTAGTAGTGGTTGATATCTTAATGTTGAATAGCTCAGATTAGACAGCAGGTATGGACATATTCGGACGTCATGATGTTCTACTCGCGTACTGCTAGACTCTGGAGCATAGGAAGGCTGCATGGCTTTCTCTTACCTTTGAATTGACTTTAACTTCTGCGTTAGTAGATGGTGATTTCTCTTACATTGTACTAATGCGTATGGAAGCCTCCTCTCTTCTAAGCGTATATACAAACTCTCTTTTGCTATTTTCATATTTTACAATATGTCCATATTTACGATATACTCTTCCTTCTATCGTTTAGTAGCTTACTTGCTGCTATACCTGTTATTTAGGGTCGTCTTCTTGTTCTAATCGTGTACTGCTAGATTCTGGTGCAGATTACAACTGGACTTTATCTAAACTTCTAAATGTACAGTAACTGGTGTGCACAAGGTATATGGAAGCCTCCTCTCTTCAAAGTTTATATACATAATCTCTTTTGTTTCTTTCTTATATTTCATAATCTGCTTCAGCCTATTCATTTCTTATATTAATTACTTGCAGCAAAGAAATATCGTGGTGAAAAATGGGCAATCTGACAATGACTCAATTTGCAGAACACAGAGTTCAATGTGACAAAGTTCACTTATCAATTCATATAACTATTAAAAGTGTATCAATAACCCCTACAGTACATCATTTCTATGCCAAATGGTGTATTTGGATCTGCTACTGTGCTTATACTACGTACAGGTTTTAATGGGAGGGGGGGGGGGGTAATCTGAGAAACCGATGTCTGTAAACTCTTTCTTCACATAACATCTACATTAAAAACACACATTCGTGTAAACTTACCCTCAGCACACAGTTTACAGGAAATTTTGTAATTTTCTTGACAAGTAAACTGTTGTCTCTTGATTATGTGTTGTAAGATGTAGATTGGCAAGATGTACTGTATTTTGTCTTGCGATGAGACAAGGAAACATCCGGAGTTCCTTACATACGGAATAAAGCGGAGTCATGGGGTCACATATCTGTTGTCTGTGTCTTTTTTTAAAACTATCCCTGACTGTAACACTGTAATATCCGGCATTCACATGTCTTATGGCGGAAATCATAGTCATAGGAATTTTTTCAATATAAATGGTTTATGTAAAACACCCTTCGTATCAGGTACAGCCATGGCCATGATGGCCCCACGTCCTAGATGTTCAACGTATGTGCAAAGTTCACAACACTGCAATAAACCATTGGGTCTCTAGGCGGAGCTCTTTCTGTTGCCTCTACACCGAGTCCATTTGGTCGGAACTATCAGGGGTCTAAAACCATGCCACCTATCGCTTCAATTTAAAAGTCCAAACTTTGAGATGTATTCAAGAACTTCACTTAACTCAATTCAACTTAACTGGTAATTGATATACAATCAAACCTGTTCTAGTCACCACCTCTACTAATGACAACCTGGCCATTGATATACAGTCAAACCTGGTTATTGATATACAAGTCACCACCTTAGATAATTTTCCTATTGGTACAGACAATAAGAGTGTTGTTCATAGTGGTCACCAGTGGCCATAGTGGCCACCGGTGGCTCCACAATGATGACATTTTATAAGGCTTTTTGTGGTCTTTTTGAGTCTACTAGGTTTGGTTATAAGGGTGTACGGACATTTCCTTTATTTACTGCTACTATTTCATTTTGCGACTGTGTCTTTCACATTTCAATGTAAGTATAGTTGCAAATGGAAGCGACGCATGTAAGTTATTCTATTGTCAAAGCGATAACGCGTTTACCTTCTATAGCCTGTATGCCAGACTGTTATCAGGGCCAGTGCATTGGTCAGCTCATGTGTTAGACCCTCATCAACGGTAGATTAAATAGCTCTAGACTAGACATGGAGATTTTTTTGTGTGCAAATTGGCCTGATTTGAACTGACTGGGGTCTGCGGTAGAATGGCCTTGGGAACTTGTTGATCCTGGGGCCGATGCGCTAGCCTGTCTAATCTCCACTCAGATCATACGGTGGTAAGGCAGTGCCCATTGGCTAGAGGAGTGACCATTAGCCATCGGTGGACAATGGGCATTCCTCTGGCCATTGGATACTGCCTTTACTTCTGGTAAAGGTTATTTTTTTTTGCATTTGATGTTTTAAGTAACCATTATCAGACTTATGCTGGGGTCACATTTCCAAAACGGGGCCCGTCTGGGGCCCGTCTGGCCAGTGGCAAAATTAATAATTGGAACTCTTTGCGTATATTAAATTGAAACAGCCTGAAATGTGACATCAGCATTTCGTAACATGTATTGCTGTTACTTATGAGACCGTTTCCTGGCGTTACTGTTAGACGTGAATGGGGCGTAACTGCATAATAGCTAAAATGACGCCTGTAGTTAGATAATATGCTGGGTTCATCTAACAAATAGTTATTTATACAAAAGGTGAATCTTCATTTGCGACGAGTATGGCATGAATCAACCGTTATCAGACGTAAACGTACTGCTGGATTATATACCAATGTATAACAGATAGGGCATGGTTGTTTGGTATCTAGCGGCTATGTAAATAGTCAATTGAAACTAAAATTAAATACTTCTGCGTAGCCGTGCTTTATCAATTTAAATGCTTAACTAGCAAGTATATGGTCTAGTGGTTTACAAGAGTTTGGCTTAACACCGAGAATCAGATACAGGGTCAGTTACAAGGTCACAATATAACAATCACGTTTTCTGTCGACTCACAAATTGGACGGATGTCCCCCCATCCGTAACCCTCTCCTATTGGTCCTCACTTCTTACCCCCTACCTACCCTCCGACTCATCTTCATTCGTCGTCGCCACTTCATAGTGAGCGGTTGAGTCGTGGCGAGCGCACGACTACCCTATCCATGTGTCTGTCCACTTTGTGAATAGACAGGAAACTTTAAGTTAGTTCTCTTTTACGAGTTTACGAACAAGAGAAGCTAAATTAATCTATATAGCTAAGCCACCCTTCCATATGGTCTAGATTCTAATTACCCTAATGGTATTTGTAACGGCCGTTACAATTATTAATAAATCACCTTTCATTTACTGCAAGGAACTACAGAGACAAACATATCAGCAGTGTTAAGCTATAACTGTCATTTCAGTGAAACTACAACTACTGTTAAACTGTCAGAGATACACAGATTTAGATCACCATGTAACTTTGGTAACCATCTAAACCCTACCGCGTTTGTAATTTCTAAGTTCCCGGTTTTAAATTATGCTGTGTATTAACTCTGAATAAATCCTCTGCAGTACGGGGAAAACCTATCCCTAAACTTATTCCTCAAGTTTAACCCTAAAACCCTTGCCATAGCTCCACGCAATGTTATCGTAAATCTAAACATGAGATTCCTATGACACCTAATCGCAACTAGATACCATACTATACACAAGAATTCTGAAGGAATATCAGTTACCCTGGTTTAGGGGTCTTCAGAAGATGTCATCCATAAAATCAAGTCGGTGTGGCCTTAAGTAACCCCTACCGTGTTTTGTGGACAACACAATAGTGAGTGAAACGTATACGCCACAGAGGGCCGAAAACAATAGTGTAGGATATCACCGTAGTTGGGGCTGTAGACCTTCTCATGAGTTTGTGGTTTTGCAACTCGCAAGTAAATTCTAACCGCTATTGCGTCGTCTGGTTCCGATTTCTTAACGATCATTGTGACGTTTGTGTTTTTTTCTTCTCTGTGTGAATTACAAAACTCTACATAGTGATTTACAGCGGCACTACAGTCTATGTTGTCTTGTGTTACTGTAATATGACGCGGAGTTGTGGCAATAGATGTGCGTTTATGGCCGTTATTGTGGAGTTGTTTTGGCTACTCGTGACCTTTGCCCTTGCTTTACTTTGACCGTGACGTCAGTCAAAATGTTTTCAAAATAGCATACAATGGCGCGGTGTAAAGTGACGATCAACTTTTCAGGAGAAGACTTCCTTGAGGAAATATCTACAGTCAACAGCGTTTTCCTTGCCCAAGAGGAAGCATTTTATCGCCATGGCGTCGCCTTTTCTCAGTCTTCTAACGTCCCTTGTAACGTCTGTGTTCCTGTGCTCTGCCCAGTCGGTCTGTAGACCACCGTCAGACGAGAAATGTGTGTGTAATTGTGGGGATGCAGTGGTGAATACTGGGAACGACAACGCATTTCGAGCAGAGCTGGAGGAGCTCAAAATCACTGTGAAGCAACTTTCCCAGACCGGGAAGTGTGGGCCAGAAGGCAAGTTATTTTGGTTAAATCCTGACATAATTCTTACAGGTTACAGTCTTCTTTTAGTTTCAAATGTTAATACCACTTATAACTATATAGGCTATAAAACGCGCGTGAACAGGTTTAATCTGTGCAATAGGAACAAGAAATGCAGTCATATCCTAGAAGGTTAGAATTGCCTCACATTTACAGGATGAAGTTGCCATAAGGCTTACTTTGCTGTGAAGCCATCTAACCTCTCCAGTTCTCACTTAAAATTTCTATAAGCATGTTGTATATTAATGCGTTATAATAAAGGCGGTGTTCTGCATTAGCAGTAGGCATTACAGCCAACGACACAAACACCGACAAGCCCCAAGACTGTCAGGACATCCTTGACAACGACGAGACCACGCCCAGCGGCGTGTACATGGTTTATCCACGGGACAACCTGGGCGGCTTCCTGGTCTTCTGTGATATGGACACGGACGGAGGCGGCTGGACGGTAAAATAAAATGTTTACAAAAGAAGCTGCATCTGTGTGTATTATCGTCTTGAATATTTTTGAGAAGTTTTATTTGAAGGTACATTTTTATCTCTTGTATAGTTATGGTTGTTTTACAAGAATGAGTGTGGATTTGTGGGTCTGTTCAACCTCAGTAGGATGGTAGCACGTGGGGGATTGACAGGTAGATTGACTAGATAGAGGTAAAAGTTTTCGGAATCCTGCTAGAAGAGGACGTGAGGATCTCAGCATGCTGAGAAATCATGTTTAAATCTATCTCCAATTTTCTTCTTGCTCTTAAAGTTGTTCCAGAGACGCCAAGACGGCACCGTGGACTTCTACCGGGGCTGGGCGGACTACAAGACCGGCTTCCCTTCCAACCTGAACGGCGAGTTCTGGCTGGGGAATGACAACTTGTACCGCCTGGCTGTGCAGAAAGTCTACCAGCTCAGGGTGGATTTGGAGGATGTGGAGGGAGAGACGCGGTACGCCGTCTACGACACGTTTGCCATCTCACCTGAATCACAGAACTACAAGCTCCAACTAGGATCTTACAGTGGTACTGCAAGTACGTGTGAGGTTTGCTGTGGTGTCATAACGCGAGCCCTGTAATTACTACTCATTTTGATACTCCTGGTCCTGTTGATTCAAAATAGTATGTGAAATCTTGTTTTTGTGACCGTATACCTCGGTAGCTTTATACTGGCATTGCTGTTGCACTTGGGCAGTAAGACATCATGTTCTTTTAAATTTTGATAGTGGACAGCCTTAAGCAGCATCGCGGGGAGTCATTCAGCACCAAGGACAGAGATACTTCGACTGGCTGTGCTAATACTTTCAAAGGTGCCTGGTGGTACCGCACGTCGTCCGGCAACAGTTGCCTCCACTCCAACCTGAACGGCCTGTACCACCTGGGTACACATGAGAGTCACGCCGATGGTGTCTGCTGGTACGACTGGAAGGGTAACAACTACTCCCTGAAGCGCACTGAGATGAAAATCCGACCAACTCCATAACTAAACACGTTTTAAAATTTTTTCATGGTTGATCTGCTTACGAACTATGCATCGTAAGCCGTTTGCAGTGTTTGTGATAATCATCTTTCTGTGTTTTTTAAATTTTTTAGATATTTGCATGATCCTAAACCTAACATTGGAGATCATCAAGTCTATGAATATCACACTAAAAAGAAAATGTACAACAACAACAAAACATCGAATCAGTTTTAGAATATATTTTAAAGTATAAAGTTATGAGTAATCTGTACACTGTTGTCATCCAAGGCTCAACATCGCCCTAATTGATTAGATGTAAGAACGACACATTGTATTGATATGCATGAATAATTGTCATTCTCACCAGATATCTACATGTATTCAACAGTGTTAGATTTATAGAGCGAGCTTACTAACATGCCGCTATTTATAACTCAAAACGTTACAGTTAGCTACCACATACATGACCATGATTAGATGCGTTTAAGGTTTGTCAGATCTATGGTATTGGGCTGTTATTGATGGTAATAGATTAAATGTATCTGTTCTTAATCGTATCTCTTCTTTTATTTAACCCTTAAACACCCGAACTTTATTTGTGACGTTAATGCCCGAACGGGGTCCAAATGGACCCCATTTGGTTTTTTTTTAAATTTATATTCCTTTTTGTTTCCTTTTAGTGACCTTTGCACATATATTGGTTAAACATATTAGGACGTTTATTTTGGCATGATTAAGTGTTAAAAAATTCCAGCTCATTATCATAATTTATGCAAAAATAGGATGCCTGCAGGCATGAACATGGGGTTGACCTTTGACCTCATATGATTGTCAAATTGTCAAACCTCTGAAAACCTGATGAAATAATTCCTGAGGTTGAAGTTACTTAGCAAACGGAATAATATTAAAGTAATAATGCTTCCTTGAAGACATATTGAGGACATCCGAACAATTTCGTGTGTAGGAAAGTCCAAATACATGGCTGGGGTCCGTTTGGACCCCAGACTGTCTTACATAAGACTTCCGTTGTTATTTTTACAAATTTGTGCCGATCTCAAAAAAAAATTTAGAACTTGTAGAAGAGGTTTACTGACAAAGTCACGGGAGGAATTTTTTTAGAATAAAAAAAAATTCAAATAGCACATAAAAATATACGTCTGAGTCCAAATGGACCCCGTTCGGGTGTTTGAGGGTTAAGGGGCAAAACCCCCGACTAGAGGACATCATATAGTGGCATTTGGTACTGTAACAGTTCCCACAAACGGAAGACCACCTGTCCTGTTTTTCCCAATGGGAAATGAACTTAATGAGATTTATATCATACAAATCAGGATTTTATTTACATAAGAAATCGAGTAAACATATTCTCTGATGGGCTTTATGATAACATGTCCACGAATCCGGGACTCATCTGCCAAAGAGATGTACAAAATGTTCAATTTAGGTCAACTTGGAACATGGTATGGCAGTCAAGCTGGCGTCTTAAAATTATAAAAGGAAAAAAAAACTAGTTCAATGAAATTCATCAAGAAGTCTATGAACTTCGATAGTGTGTTTGTTTTCCACCATGGCCGACTTGATGGTGTGAAATGATATAATATATCTACACCTGACGAAAGTATGTGTGCCAAGAACTCTAGTTTTTTCAGCATTCACTGTTTAATAAATGTCAAATAATGATTTAATTTCAACACAGTTTTAGTATGAATCATTCACAAAATTTGTCTGGTGAAGGTAATTTTCTGTTATCTGAACCAGTGCATGTATTCAGAAAAACATATTTTGAGTCCTGGCTAATCATCAGATCCACTGTACGGTGTGAAAACAAAAGTAAGAGGAATGGTAATAACGAGCCCAACAATGTACGTCACAAAGCAGACCCTGTCTACAACATGAGCCAGATTGTAATAATCCGCCTCTGGCTCTTTTTTATCGGAGTCTTCTTCTTCCTTGTCACGTAGCGACTTCAAACTCGCCTGCAGTTCAGTCAGAAGCTGCTTGATGGCGTGAAGAAGTTGTAGCTTCTCTCTCTCTGCTGGTTTGTCGTGAAAATAGTAGACCACTGATTCCTTGGCTTCCTTGCCGTTGTGCAGTTTAGATTTGTCTGCGGAGTCAACGGAGACGCTTTCTGGCTCCACGTCATCACTCATGATGTTGCTCAGATCACCCAGGAGCAGTAACCTGGCCAAGTGCCGCAGGAACAAGGCCCTCGCCCAGCGTGGCAAGGTGCCTTCCTGTGACGGGAGAAATATGTTAACTTTAAGCTATTATCCCAACGTCCCTATAGCTAGTTCTCTAACACACTGCATCATTTAGAACAGCATCGAACATTTGGGATAGACACTATTCACATGGTAAAACGTTTTGTAGAAACTTTATTCCAGATCTAAGGAAAGTATTTTTTTTTATTTCGTAACACAATCGTATTTGTATCTCATAGTCAATTACTGCCGTTATCTCATTCTATCATCTTAGTGGTCTCATCTTCATTTAAGTGGTGTTGTAAATATTTGGGCACAGAATTTGTGAATATTTGATCCCGCGCTTAATACGTGTTTTAAGATCGCAGTTTTTAACACAGTTTTAAGGGGCAACTTTTCTATTATCATTAATGTATCTTTTTAGGGCTTAGTAGCAAGTGATAAGAATCAGGGTTACATCTATGCTCATGTGAATGTCGAGATATATATGGGTAAACTGAACTGAAGAATTTGCAAAGACCCCTGACCTACCTCCCCTTGACCTCTTGAAAAACGGCTTAGGCCGAAGTGTTGTACTGATACCAACATTTACTGTACATTTCAAGGTTAAATAAAGGTTGAAAAAAAGAAAAAAACACACACACACATACACACACAAACATACATACACAGATATATTTACATGCATGATTTATATGGATATTGATAAATATTTTTTTTTCTGCTGATGGTTGATACGTACCTTTTGACTCAACCTGGTGGTAAAGACGGCTAAGAGCATCCACAGGGCCATCATGCAGATGTAGATTAGAACAACAACCGCTACATACAAAAATGTAAGACAACAGAGACAACAGATGTTACAACAAGAACACAACAACAGGACACATTCAGTAACTACTGATGTAAGTACAACTGTCACGGTTCTACTAATTATCTTACAGAGGTATCTACTTTCCAAGGACCGTAATAGAGTGGAACAGCCTGCCAGGCAATCTAGCTAGTGCAGCATCAACTGATCAGTTCAAAGCTTGGGGGGGGGGTACTATGGCCATCCCAGCGCCACACATTAGCCATATTTAGCTGTGGGCGACTTTTTCGTACATATCACAGCTTCACCTTTAAAATCTTTTTCCTATGTTTTGTTTTTGCACCACCATCACCGGTCGCGCCAGGGCACTAACCCCCTGGACGTTTGAGAGCATTGTCCAGTACTGTGTAGATGTAGATGTAGAAATATCTCATGTATATATACATTTTTCATTAATTTTGACCACTGTTTTCCTTACCTATTACAGGCAGGGATTCTTCTGCAGGTACAATTTCCGTGATGAAGACCAGAGTCACTATCATAGACAGGAAGATGGTCATAGCGTAGCCGAGACGCTCTCCCTTTGAACAGAAATGGTAGGGTATTAAAAAAAGAATTTTGTCCTAATAAATTCTATCCCTTTACTTCAATTGAAAGACATACATTGTTTATAAAATTATCTTAAATAGTTACTCTCCTTTCTTTAAACAAAGAAGAAGATTTCTTTTTAAAAACAACTTTCATCTCGGGACTGATATAATCACATGACCTATGCTATCCATTGGGGCTTAATAACGGTCAACAGTAGGTCACATGTGGCCTTTAAAAGCTCACGTGGTGTGGTTAATATTTGGTTTAATTTATAGAAATTGCAATAGTGCAATACACGTGGGTAACAGGCAACTGTTGTTGGTGTTGTGTCCCACACATAAAAACTAATACTCATAGACTCATACTCATATACTCATATCTACTTGAGAAAAGTCGTGTAAGGTGCCTTTGGCCCAAAGACACAATATCGGTGGCGTGTCAGGACTCAAACCCAGATCACTCAAACTCAACCAACCTCTTTGTTCCGAGTCGAACTCGCTGTCATTGCACCACACGACCAAGATGAACCGCCACATTGTAATTAGGATTAGGACAGAGGTCACGCCCATGAGAAATTAATTATTCAAGTTCATGAATCACGTGACCTACCGTGTCCAATGGCAGCAGGAAGGTCACGGCCATCAGCAGTGCTAGAAAAAAACTTGGGGCGATGGCCGTACACATGTGGTAGGTCGGGTCACGGCGCATGTGCAGTTTGATGCAGGCCAATGTGTAGTTTCCATCGTCTTCTTCCTCAATCTGAAATTTTATGTTTATGTCATTATCTATATGCGTTTTGCATTGGACGATCATTATGCTAGCGGTTTTTAAAATATTCTAGTAGTTGTAAAAGTGATAAAATCTAACAAGAATACATATTTTATAGACCAAAAGCAATGACAACCTCAAATGCAATGGAAATTCCACGTCCACATTCCTTCGACAACTGAATATTGTTTTTTTGGTGGTTGTAGCGCAATCTGTTCAGACGCTATCTGAGATCAAATTTTGCGAGGGCCTCAAAAGCCGCCACACCGTCTGAGTAGGAATAAGAGTGAGGCAAAAAGATCTTACGCAAATAAGATACCTATTTGCATTATTATATCAGTTTATTATATTCTCTACCTAATAAGTTTTGCTTAACGATATTTACCTTCACTAAGGTAAACATTTTTACAACGAATGTGGCAAAAGTCATTTACCTCCCACTCGGTGTTCCACTCGTCCACCCGTACGAAGGTGTCCACGTCACAGTACGCCAGGTCGACCCGAGACGAGTGGGCGTGGTCTCTCTCCAAACACTTCAACACCTCGTTCCCCCGCTGTTCTTCATTAGCGATGCACGCACTGCACTCCATGTCATCAAAGGGGAAGTTTCTTGCATCTAGAGGGTGGAAGAAATTTGGTCACTCTTTATTACCAAAATAGATGAACTTTCATGCTAAGTTGTAGATTTTGTTTAAAGGAAGACTACCATACTTACTGTGTTCACATGTAGTCTTTAATATCTGAGAGATGTCCCACACCACCTCCCCGTTCCGAAACACTCGCGCTCCAGCAGATGACTTGAAACCCTCAAACTCTGGATCAGCGCTGTGGAAAAAAATTAATATACTGCAGTAATATGGTACCGTAATTGGTAATTCAATCGTAATTTCCTCCATGAAAAATTGAGGTATTGTTTTGTGTCTGTGTGTGTGTGTGTGTTTCCGCACATTTGTAGTCAGCATAACTTCAGAAAGCCTTTATGGATTGTGATGATATTTGGTATGCTGATAGGCATTAGGAAGTCATATGGGCCTCCAGGTGGCTGACCTTGGTACTGCAGCAGAACTTTTGTATTAGCG